GAATCGAAGTGAAAATCACAACATTTACCTTGAATAAACGTTAAATATATCTATGGTTTACATTTCTTTCCATATCAGTGTGAAAAATAAATATTTTGTTGTGCGTCTGACATAATTATAATATTAAAGTTTCATATAAAACGCTAATAATACTCAATGAACATAATATTTAAAAAATAATGAACAACATTATGTTAAGCTTTGCCCGGAAAAATTGACTTTAAAAAATATTCAACTTTGGAGACTCATATGTTCGAAATGGTAATAACAAATCATTTAAAGTGCGAGAACATTGTGCACAGATTCCTTAGAAACTAGTACCACTAAACAGATTTCAAGAATTGCGATTTTCATTTTTAACTTTTGTCTACGTTTTCGCCGTTTTTCACTACTTGCAACACTGTGCACCGGCTATCGACTTTTATGTGCGCTATTCTCGCATTGAGTATTTTCGATTACTACCTCCGTTGCACTGTGAGAAGAAATACTGCTATTAATGGTAGATTATTTATAAACAAAATAATCAAATGGAAAGTTTGCAGATATTTAGAAATAAACGATAGTTGATTGAAATCCTCATGATCGCATACAATAGAATTTTATATTCTGCAGCATAAATTACAAATGAAATTGCTAACGTACACGTCTACATGAAACAGAATGTTTTCGTAAATTATTTATGTGAAATATGAATAGTTTGTGTGCGATTAAGGATGGATGTAATACATAAATCTGCACTATTATTGGGTTCGTATGAAAATCGTTTGAAAATTGATTAAATAAACGTGTTGTAAAAGAGCTCTCAATGTTTCTAGAAATCATTCGGTAATCAGAAAATTGCACCGAAGAGAAACTATTGGTTATAAAATATAGTTATCGAAATAACGTTTAATAAAATGATTTCCTACATTGAGAAAGTTATCCACTTGAAAAACCGAGAGTCTGTTGCGAGTAAATATCGAAGAAAAATATATTGAGAGCGATGGATAAATAAATAGGCAATTGATAACATCATCATCAATTTACAGTAGAATGTCTGCAGTAGCAGTAGTATGTCAGATTCGAATGACGATTTGGATTTTAATTAACACTAAAATTTGAAAGAATTTTTGTTTTCAATTTATACAAATCTTCTATATGAAAAACTGCTTTTTAATTTAAATTTTGTAAATAATAATTTGGCCCTATTGTAATGTGTACACTGACCCTCTATCTCTTTCTCTCTCTCGCATTTATCCCGCCGATGCGACATTCTCCTTAGCGACCGACGCATAACGGGTAAACGACTTACAAAAACATATGTCAATTCGCAAAGACGTATATTTGTTTATGGAAAGTTTAACAGCCGACCGTTCATAACGGTTACGCTGATTTTTTAAAATTATCTTACTTCTGTGTCATTTGACGCCAAATTGATCAATTTTTTAATTCCATCACTTGCGATTTTATTTTAATCTACACATGTCATAGTCCATGTGGACTTAAGGGAGGTTTAAGTTATCTCTTTGTCGGTTTCGGATTTGTTAAGAAATAATAAACCTTTAAAGTCTGCAATTTTGCCGAAAATATACTTGACAAACGAATTTTTTTCTCAGAAACTACTCATTTGATTCAGCTACATTTTTTTGGTTTATTTATAAAGGATTCGGTTATTGTAAAATATTTTTTCGATTTCGTCAATTTCTTTTATAATATCAAAGAATTTAAGCGAATTCTTCTTTCTTTAATAATTTTTTGTTCTTCCGTATAATATTACATAATTCATACAGTCTGTCACAATATTTTCACAATTGATATACAAGGTGCCACGCAGTTATTGTTACGGAAATGGGTGGTAGGGTATTTGATTCTGAACAACTCTTCCCTTTGCAAAAATGGGGTCTGAAGCTTTGTTTTTGAATTGTTAAGGAATAAAATAATTTTAAGAAAAAAAATACGCCGACTGCGAAATGCACTAAAAAGTATAAAATAATTTCTATTTCCTAATGAAGTAATTTCTATTTCATTCAATCATACAATTACGTAACAGATATGAATGAAACCTATTTACTCGTTAGGTAGTATATTAAATACATTTCAATCTTTTCGGAGGCGGCGCAAAATTAAAAATACCTCAGTAAACGTTGCTGCTAAAAACCAGTTGATTGCGGTGTGACGTATTGGAAATTAATAAATCTTGAGAAAGAATACGAATCATTATAGATATATCTGGTAATATACGTCTAGAGTGTCGCTTAATAGACGCTTAATAGTAAATACGTAATAATAATTATTCTGCTAAAATCTTAACTTTGCGATTACATGAATGTCAACATATTTTCACTTAGATCACTCTACTAATGAGCCCACGACGCGGGAATTACCTTTGCGGCAGATGGGCTCTATCTTTATAGTATATGCGGCGATCGAGTCTTTCCGTCGCATACTCTATGAATCTAGATA